TAAGAAGATGACTGATGACTGCTTAAACCACGACGTTATCCATGCAGCCATCGGCAATTTTTTTACGTCACAAATTCTGTAATCTTTCCATCAAATATACTATCCTTCATTACTAATTTAGCTAACTACTTAGAACTTTTATGTCGCAATCACGACAGAAACTTCGTGTCTCTTAACCTTTTTCTTTGTACAATAAATGAAGATAAATATTTTATAACTAATTGTTTTTACTGTCCATTAGCTAGTAAACCTGTGAATTTCTCAAGTGTACCATATGGTCAGTAGAAAGAGATGTGAGAAGTAGAGTTCTCCTGCAACCACTCCAGATTTGCTAAAGACAGATTTAGCAATGGGCAGAAGTTTAAAATTCTATATATTATGCCTGTACCATAGGGACTGCTGATAAACACACTTATGTACTACTAAATACACAGATGTTATAGATAAATTACAACCAGATACAGAAAAAACGATCTTATTCATCACACAATTATTATCTGTACTACGTGGGAATTGAACCCGCAATCTTTGACTTAGCAGTCAGTACCACTAACCACTAGAACAAGAAAAGTACCAAACCAGTAAAGGTTATCCTTAAGGTTAGTTAGGTTATAAGGTCAATAGTTCAAGGATATCCTTGAGGAAAAATAAACAACTTTAAAATATATGCTTATTGCTTTACGCAGTGTAAGATATATTTTCCGTTAGCAGTACATTTTCATTGATTATAATTTCAATTACGCCATCAAGGCTAAGAATCATCGAAATAACCAAGTTTATTTATCAAGTTAATTTCCTTCTATTTTTGTTTGCAGACCCGATAAATTGGTTGGGCGCCATCTTAATATAAACATTTTAATTACATTAAGTTTCGTTGATGAACTTTGATGAATGTTTCTATTCAGTTATTGTCCCATATTTGAAATTCGAAGGCTTGGAAATACATTAACAAAACAAGGGGGGGGGGGGGTAGAATATAGGAAGTGAAGACAAAGAGGACTTGCAACTAGAACGTATAAATAAAAATAAAAAAAACTCACAAGTCAACAGTTCTACTACTGCAAACGAAACGTGATTTTTTAATTAATTTGTTAAATAATAACACTGCACTCTCGATTCGCTTGTATCATCGTTGCACGCGGTGAAACATTCATTCCCATTACTTGGACAATTGACGCACCACCACAGTGCGCTTTTTAAGAACTTTTTGCCTATCATAATCTGTGGAACAAATTATGGTCTGCGGTATTTCTGCACCGATAAAACCTCGAAACCTTCAAGAATAGATTTTACTCCTCAAAGGCTGTGCAACACGTTTGTGTCTGCTGAGTTCCAAGGGTCCATGCACGGTGGTGATCATTTTTCAAATGGTAACCCTTCTGCATGTTTGCCTTCTATTTTATAAAAAAAAAAAAACTATTTTCATATTTAAAAAAGTAGAATACTTTTTCTCATTATATACCTTCACACTATGTTCACACTATATGATAACCTTTTATTTCCATAGCTAATTGCACGTATTTCATGTATAAATGTTCTGTGGTAACTGATTGCTATTTTTTATTTGCTTTCCACTTACCGCCAGTTACTTGTGCTCACAACAAGCCATTCGACTCGATAGGACCGAAATAAAGTACTTATTTAAACAAAAAAAAAACAGATTCATACAAAAACATGTTTTCAATCAAATTTGAATTCATCAATGTCGTGTTAGTACTATGAAAGCAATACAATTCGAAACTTAAAAAGTAAAAACATTCGTTGACATAAAACATAATCTACAAACCTTATCTGGTTTTGTAGTTTTAACACTAAGTACTATAAAAACAAAACGTCCCTATGTATATTTATCTTGGTAAGTACTGTCCACGGTTGTTAACAAGCGTTGGAGACATCCTAGTACTTAGAGTTGAAATAAACACATTTGTCTTGGTGCAAAGCCCGAAACCCTTTGCGTGACACTAGGCGAGGCCATGCGGCCACGTCAGCTTGTACTGTGACGTGTATTTATAGCTGTTATATAATACGGAGTAATATTAAGTACAGTCAGTTAGAGAAGTCCTTTATTATTAATGTTTAGCGGTAAAACATCAATGTCAATCTCTGGTACATCCTATATTGTTCGCTGTGACTTTAAATATTGTAAAAATAACAATAAATTGGATTTTTGGACAAGGAAAACTGAAAGGAAATACTTTACAATACGATCACGGAAGTCTTGTTGCATTCCTTTAAATTACTCGAGGTGTCGATCAAATGTCACGATTTGCACGATTCTAATTTCTTTGTGTTAAATTCCATTGTAATTTTTTTAAATTACTTCTTCTATGATTATAAAAACACTAATGCCTATTTATTTAATTAAGAACAGCTCTTTAAACCTAACTGAAATGAATAACTCAGCTTTTATGACGTCTTATATTCTAACAATAATCAATTTTAGTCTGTCTGGATTAAAATTAGATTCATTTTATTATACAAACTTTGTAATACTTGTTTTGTTCATCTTAACCTGTATGTATTGAAAGCCTAACATAAGAAACCTCAAATTTAAGTTAATTGTTATTGTTATATCAGCAACAACACGCTCATGACAGTATCAATTAACTTTAGTTATGTTAGAATCAAATTACGTGCCTAATGAAAACTAAAATTAATTTGACGTAACAAAATATTTGAAATCCTTTAACTAAAATAAGAATATTTTAGAGAAATGTTAGTGAAATTTACTACTAATTTAGTGGAATTATTTAATTTTATGATTAGCATAGCTATGGAGATTAAAAATTTCATCATCATCAACAGACTATAACAGTCCACTGCTGGACATGGGCCTCTCCTTAGAAAAGAGGGTTTGGCCTACTATACCACGCTGGCCAGACGGGTTGGTATAGGATTTGTGTCAAGTTTTCCTTCTCTTTGCAGTGCTGTTGTCCTACGTAGTTTGTCCCTTAGTCGGCTCTTACGACACCCACGGGATGAATAGGGGTGGTGACACTATGTATTCTTAATCCGTCACCACACGGAATTAATTATTTAAAAAACTGATGAATAATAATTTCTTTAATATTAATATAATACCTTTTGCAAGCCTTTCCTACACTAGTAAAAGGTCTTGCACACATAGGTCATACTTATCTAATGAAAAAAAATGTCTTAAAATATGTAAATATTTAACTTTAATAATTTTATTTATTTCCCTTCTCCCACAGAAGATATTTAGCTATCTAATGTTAGCATTATTTGTTTTTCATAATTAGAAAATAAACTTCAAAGCTATTTCCAAAACTGCCTAGTGTTTATTCAATAAAAAATAAACATGCTGATGGAGCCGCAAGATAAGCAAAAAAAGTATAAAGTGTCTACAAAGTATGCTCACAAAGTTTTTAACCGTAAATAAATAAGTATAAATTATATGAGCATTCCAAATTCCTAAAACAATAATCGCAGATACAGTTTTAGCTTGTAGTACGTGTTTACAATTAAGAATGTGAAATGGAATAAGTTCATACATCATCATCATCATCAACAGCCTTTAACAGTCCAATGCTGGACATAGGCCTCTCCTTAGAAAGGAGGTTTTGACCTACTGTACAAAGTTGTGACAAGTTTTCCTTCTCTTTGCAGTATTGTTGTCCTGCGTAGTTTGCTCCTTTAGTCGGCGCTTATGACACCCACGGGATGATTGGGGGTGGTGACAATCCGTATTCTTAATCTGTCACCACACGGACACATCAATATGATAATAATTAAATTGTAATCTGTAAAATTTCAGTTGTATTGGTTTAGGTGTATGTCAAGCAATTGACATTAAATCTAATTTTATCCTCGTATTAATTAATATGTCGTTTTCATGCTAAATTTATCTAATAAACATGAGGCTAAATTTAAGTAGCCGCGATTTTTTATTACTATTTTAAATAATTCAAAATCACATTTACGAATATTAACTGATGCAGTGACTGTACCGAAGCAATAGCTTTGAAACCACAAACTATTCCAATTTCAAAAGTTTTCATCCCCCATTTTTCATTCCTTCAAGGATTAGGAGCTTTGGTAAGTGTCAACTGTCGCAGTGAAAGGTTAACATTTTGAATAGGATCGGTTCGGTACTTGAGACCTTGATAGATGTTAGCTAATTTAGCGGGCGTTTTAAAATTTATTTACACTGAAGCCATACCTTGAAAAATCTTTTAAACGAATAATTTTAGAGAAAAATGTAGTTATAAATATAGTTAAGTAGTTTGTTTTCGTATACTTTAGTTGTAAAGTGATTATAAACATAGACCTTTTAAGGCGATCTATTTTAGGGACGAATTTCTTAATAAAATGCAGACCAGTGCTATAGAGAGAGAGAGAGAGAGAGAGAGAGTGAGAGCTCAAGACAGTTTTAGTTGTTTAATCACATTATACTTATACTGGCTTCGAACTCTGAACAAAAAGATAAAATTAACGATTTAATTTAAACTTTTTAATATGATCTAGTGGAAACGAGTCTAAAAGATAGGTAAAATATAGTCTAGCCTAAGGTAATTGTAGAAAATTAAATAGTTTTAAATGTGATTAAGTTATTTTTTGGTATGATTCTGCTATCCGTTTAAATTATATTACCTTGAAATTTTTATTTACGTCCTTAACTTACTGTTTATATGGTAAAAAAAAAGGTTAATGTAATTTCTTTATTTACGGCTCTAACAAATCAAAACTTCTGTCCAGAGCGTTAGCGGTAAGATCTGCTCCACACTTACCCAATGTCTCTACAATAACTCCAAATATAAATACAATGAATCCATTGTATCCTAAATGCAAATCAAACTCCACTGTTTTTTTTTAGTTTTATGTTTATATTGCCTTGTATGTTTTCTATTCATGGTGTGCAATAAAGAGTACCTATCTATCTATCTATCTATCAAACTCATCACAGATACCACATCGCTTGTAGAGAAGATTATCCAAGTAAGTGTAACAAAAAAAACTAATTTTAATTTGTTTTGTTTCAGGTATATCTTCTTAAGCTTATTACTAGTTAGTGACGCATCATACGAAATAGGTAAGAGAACAATAGCGCTAATTCTGTTGTTCGAAAACTCTCGAATTTTTTTGTCCTGTCAAATATTTCTATTTCAGAATAGGAAACGTTGTCTGACAGGACTAAACAAATTGACTATTTACTTCTAATTTTTAGTGATTTTTAGTTTAGTTTAGAGAGTTTTTGAACAACAGAATTAGCACCAATATATAATATTATGGACTAACTATCTACAACTGTTAGTTGTTATTACACTATATACAACTATAATACCGTTTTGGCAATTCTTGTTAGATGACGCGGGTGACGGAGTTAGCGTAACACCGACTCGGCCGAACGTTTTATTTCTTATAAAATGACCCCATTTTACAAGAAATAAAACGTTTTTTAATAAACTATTCGAGCATCCCCAAAAACTTCACGCGAGTGAAAACGTATTTCTTTAAAAATATGAATAATCCTGACGAAAGTTTCTATCATTGGGCCCGGCGCCCACTGTCGGCGGCACGGCAGGTCAAGACTCTCAAAAAACACCTCGGCACACCTCGGAAGTCTTTGGCAGCTTAAGACATACCTAAGGACGCCTCGATATACCTTGGAAGTCTTCGAAAGCCAAAGCAAACCAAAGGACGCCGTCTTCGGGACACCGAGTCAAAACTGTTAGTCATCCGCACCTTGCTGTCAGTTTTCCTTTTTAATCTGCAAGAATAGCAATGAACACTAGATCCCAATCAGACTTTATGAAAACAAGTGTTCACTTACAACGTTGCCCTTGTTTTAAATTAAGTCAGGGACCAGGTTGTTGCGGTGACATTCCTAAGCAGACCTCGGCATGTCTGAGAACTTCTCGGCATTCCTAACCACACCTCTGCAAGCCCGAGAACTCCTCGGTATTCCTAAACACGATGAGGACTCTTCGGCAATAATTGCCGTCAATGTGCGTCTGCGCGTAGGTATGCCGAAGGATCCCTTGCCATGCCGTGAAGATAATGGGTCTTACATCAACAGCCGTATATAAGCTACAATGCATTATTCTGAACCCAGAATCTTAAAGATGAAGAAATGTTACTAAATCTGAAAATTGAATCAAGAAACTCAACGTAGCATATTTGTATATGTTATGAAGATTTTATTTTAAACATACATATGTATATTATAACTTTTTATGAGCTCATAAAATCCATACTTATATTATAAACGTAAAAGTGAGTTTGTATGTTACGCTTTCCAGCCTAATCTACTAAACCGAATTTAAAAATTATTTCACCAATGGAAAGCTACATTATCAGCGAGCAACATAGCTACTTTACTGCTACTTTTTACTGCAGTAACCGACATACACGAAGGCAGAGGTCACACAAAGTGTCGTGCCATGTGGGGATCGGACCCACAACACTCAGCGGCGTGGCGACCGCGTCAACCACTACGCCATCCGTGCAGTCAGATTTTAGTTAGGCATGTTCGAACTGTAAATAATTTCTCAATTTCTTTCAAGTTAAAAAACTTTTTCCATAGTTAGAACACTCACATTATTTTTAATGTAGTATGATATTCACACAGAGCTTTACATTGTATACTGTTTACGAGATCGGCCAATTTAAACTCCATTACGGATTTCTATCCCTCGTTAAGAAATACAGATGGAAAGGCTAGCAGCTGCTTAGGACTGTTAAGTTAAAAGAAAAGTTATTTCATAACCTAGTAAGTATAAGTAATATTTATATTTCATATAATAGGTATATTAAATTTAATAAAATTGATTAGAACAACTGAAAACATCAACCTGATAAATTTCAAAATGATCCGATAAATAAGCTACAGATGTCGGTCCTATAATACGAAATATAATATAATATTCCAATATTTATTTTATTGCTTATGTATATGATAGACAAAAAATCCTTTTACAGATGATATTGCTGTTCTTCTCGATTCAGTTTTCTTAGATATTTTTTTTTGTTTGCAAAATAGTAAGATAACTACCGAATTACTTAGTTTTAAGCATAAAAGACATATATATCTTATACCAATTGACAGAAAGCTCCCGTGACGGTTACCATTATAGCTCCATCAAGATAACCAGGGAAAGTAGCTTAGTAATACAGGCGCGTCTTTGTGCTACGTTCAAACGATTTTTTTTACTGTAATGGTACAAATATATAAAGACAGATGGTAGAAGATAAATGAAGGTAGGTATGCAAAACATGACTTTTGGATACCGAAGTATATAGCATAAATTTTAGTGAAATCTAACAGTCCTTAACTCTTTAAATCCGGAAAACTATCAACAAACAAAATATTTTAGAATTTGAAAATTTTCACATGAAGTACCGAGTCTGTTAACGTAGGCAGCAGATCACCGGCAGACGGCTATGCACTCATTCTGTATTATGAAAATTTGAGAAATCAAACGTAGTGACCATATTAGTATATGTATTATACTTTCGAGAATACCGACCAGATCTATGTAAAACATCCACGTATAAAAACATTGTCCTAATATTCCTCTCTTAAAGGTCTTTCCAGTGTAAACGAATCATAAGAAGTAGATGGGGTGTTACTAATTCAGCTATTTGTTGGCTTTCACTTTGACAAATAGGTAAAGATAAGAAATTCGTGTTAACTGAGATGTTTATACTTTAAAATCGTTTTAGGTTGAATTTCTGACTTTCAGAGGTACACGCAACTTCCGAGCTTAGAATGTACTAGCCTTTCTTATGTTACTAGCAGAAAATGTAGTTTTTGCTTGGTGTTTTTTTTATAAATCAATTTAGTAGTTTAGGCTTTGAATGCGTAAGAAACAAACAAATAAACTATAATTTATGGGTGGGAACGAAGTTCCTTACCGCTCTGAGCGGATAGGAGCGAGACCGACATACGACGATACTTCAATTGGCGCGTCGATGCTCACATCTTTTTTATATTTCATCTATATATCAAACGACTTCCGACCATTGCTTGCCGTCCAGGGGACCATAGACCCCTCACGCTTTTTTTTTAGCTAACTTCCTTACTTTGGCTTTTGTAAAAACAATCTCATATTTGAACTATGTGTACTATATGTTCTTTTCATTGTTTCAGATGAATATATTAAGCTCCTTCCGTCCACTCATACTTATACTTCGTCAGCCTCGGATAGCTTTGGAGCATACGCCTTCAAAACCAAAAGTGACAATCTATATCCTCTAAGTAGCGTTATACAAAATGACAAACTATTGACCCGCAATTTTGTCATTAGTACAAAATTTAAAGTCAGCGACATGAGCAAGAAATGGTCGTTATTTGCCATAAAAAATAAGGAAAACGAACCACTTCTACGAATTGATTTTGAACACGTGGGAATTGATTTGACTAGGATTAATTTACAAAGGTCCTTTTTCGATAAGTCAAAACTTACATTTCACGAGAATAACATTACTATCCAGTTAAATTTTACAAATAAATGGACTAAATTAGTTATTGGTGTAACAGAATATGATGTAGTTTTTGAAGTCAACTGTGACCAACAATACAGCGCTGCAAATAATGAAGATGAAATCTTGTCTGATGATCCCATTAAACTGACAGGTGATATGAATTTAATGCTGGCTACATCTATCTTTGATTTTGAGGTAAGTTATCATACACATGTTTACTTACTACCATAATACTTATATTCAATTGAGTGCTATTAATGACTTATAATCATTATCATTAACTGAAGCAGAACAAGCTCTTAATAGTACTATGGTCTTATATGTATCGTCATACAAAAAGTTTGACTCGCAATTTCATGTAGAAAGAAACTGTGTATTTTCCAAGAAACAGACTGTTTAGTTTTCATGTCTCCTAAATGAAAGTCTAATTTTATAAAGATATTAATCAATAAAAACTTTAAATCATAAATAATTTAAGTCATTGAAGTTATGTGTTGGTCAATTATTATCATAATTATATGATACTGGCTGTACTCTACCACACTTCGCTGAGTCACATTGTAGTTGCATTGATGAGGAATGAGGAACTAAAGTGACCTGAAAAATGGATAAAAACTACTTTTGAAGTGTGTTGTTTATCAGGTCAAAATTTAAGCTCAATCGGTGAAGAACTTTTTGAGATTTTGAAGCGTACCCAAAGCAACATAACATTTTTATATCTATAAAGAAAAAAGAAATAATACCTTTTTTTTTCGAATTATTCTTAGGTTAGTGTATTTATTGGTCTTAGAATAGCACGTATATTTTATCTTAAGACCAATTCACTAAGCTAAGAATAAGAGTAATTCGAGCAAAAAAGGTATTATCTCTTTTTAGAAAAAAGTATTATTCTTAATTTCACCTATGATTTTCCAAATATTGTTTATATTTGTTAAATATTGTTTCATTAGTTCTTTTAGCATATTCCTAAAAAAATGAATACCTGAAGAATAACTTGTAGTAGGTTTCATTCCCGTTCATACCAATTGATTGTCAAACAGTTTAGTTTTTATATAGAAAAAGACATAATTTGGTTTAAAAGTGGGTGAATATTTCTAAATACATCGTTTTCTTAAATTAATTATGCGATTGTGATTTTATCTATTTTAAAAAGAAAGGGTAGCAAATGTGATAACATAACAATGCAATTATACAGAGCTCCTTAAAATAACTTTGGAACGAAAAATTAAGGATGATTCTGTCGGAGTGATTCATTTCAAAATAGCTTTACATCTCTCGTCTTTGCCAAACCTCAAGATGTGATACTAAAACAAATTACGGAACTTCCATAGACATATATTACAGTTAAACCAACCACATTTCAGAGACTTGACAGCAATAAAGGCAACAACACTTACAATAAATTGCTAACGTTTGACATTTTTGAGCACAGCCATCGCACCGCACAGAAACATTCCCAGCCAAATTATATGTGGTTAATTTTCAGAGTTTACCTGTCTCTGTTTCTGACAAAAGTGAGTGATAATCGGGGGCGATTTTGTAAAAACTAGGAGATTTTATATTTTTTTTAGAGTGAGATACGAGATGTTGCGGAAACGTCTTAAATCCTATTCCATCTCTATCTACCTTTAGGCACTACCGTCCTTTTCTCGAAGCATATCGTAGTTTTTTTTTTAATCCTAGTAATGTGGGTTTAGATTACACCAGATAAACAACGTTCTCGGCATATGATTTAATAGTAGACTTGTTCAACAAATAAAGTTTTAATTGCATAGCATTGCATTGCATTTTCATCAATTTTATTTTCAATTCTAATACTTTTGATTTAATTGATTTCTCCAATTTTCTCATTTGTGCTGAAGTACGGCTATTCGCCGAAAGATAAGTCAAACTTACTTAATTATTGTTATATTGAACCATTAAATTAGTATCCTAAGAAGCTGATTAGTGACCGTAACAAGAGTTGAAAGGGTGAAAAACAACTAGTCTGTTAAATTATTATAGTGACCGAGTAGGTATTTCTGTGTATAACTAGATAAGAGATTAAAGTGATTTGTAGTCGACTTTTCACATATTATGGGAGAATCAAAAAGGAAATTCCTTTCACTTATCCGCTACTCTCTTCGTGCAATAGAATTCCAAAGATATGAATGTTAGGAAGGTTAACGTAAACCGCATGTCTCCACCTCGGTTCTGTTTTATTATCTTGCATAATTTTACTTGTACAGCTATGCGAGATATTTCGGCAGGTTAACGAAAGGAGTTTATACCACATATTCTCTTGATGTTTTACGAAAAGGAATATTGGTTAAACTATAACTCGTATATTACAAATTTGTTTATGACTAATAATAGGGCTTTTTCGTGTTAAATATTATATGGGATATTTGATTTAAGGTTATTTATTGCTAATAAAAGAACTTCATTATAAGTAGAAATCAGAGCCCGAGGGCTATCGATAGCTGAAATCCAAGTCCAACATTGTATATTAGTCTCAGGATCTAATAGGCACATACAAATGTATGTAAGTACTATACCAAAAGTAGTCAAGTTATAGCTATAATGTGACTCCTGAGTTGTAGACGTTCATGGGCGGCAATGGTCACTTTTCATCTGGTGACCAGTATGCTTGTCTGCCCCCTCTATCATAAAAAAATATGTACGACCTACACAGATTATCGATGTTTCAAAAAGTAATTAGTACAGCAGTAAAACAGCATTCTATTGAATAGTTGTTGTTAGTTTTACACTTCAACAACGAAAATTACAGTAATTAATTGAATACTTAGTCATAAGATAGCCATTGTTGAATGTATGTTCATGTGTTTATAAATGTATTAATAGTTGTTTAGTGTGACGGTATTCAAAGAAGGTTAATATTCATCATTATGTAAACCCTTTTGTTTGATTTTAAATTTACGTAATAAAATAGTCACTAAAATCTTTCTAAATATTTCCAATTTACTGAAAACTTTATTAATGGGTTTACTTTGGACGTTGTAATTTAATCACCGTTTAAGATATTTGACTAAGTATGTCACTGGGCAAACAAAGTTTCATTCTCTCTAGAACCTACTTACTAAGTTGTCAAGTACCATTTATTCCTGTTTACTTTGTCTCCAATTCTCTGGTTTAAAGGAATGTAGGAGTATAAAGGGTGGGGGAAACGGTTTGCGTAGTTTCTTTGAAAATTGCACAATGAGTAGTGTTGTTTGATTAAACATTTCTTTGAGTAAACATCAAGAGTTCTTTAAGTTTTGTAGTAATCAAGTGGATAAATAGTGCGTTTTTTTAGTGTAATAGAGGGGGCAGACGAGCAGACGGGTCACCTGATGGAAAGTGATCATCTCCGCCCATGAACGTCTGCAATTATTTCACTACTATAAAATACCACACCTCCTATTACTTCGACTAAAGCGCATTTAAATTTGCCTAAATCAAAAGTGATACTTAGCAATCTATTACATACGAACTAACGATTGATAGTCAAACATTAACATACCAAATGATATAAGTAGTAACAAGTAATAATTTAAAAAATTAAAAACCCGACTCAAAAAGACAATTTAAAAGTAATGCACTAAAAAAACCGAAACAGCGAAGGTCACGGGTTCGTACCTCTTATGGGCCACCATGTTATATCTTTAGAGGATATCATCATCATCATCATCAGCCTATCGCAGTCCACTGCTGGACATAGGCCTCTCCCATTGCACGCCACTTAGATCGATTTTGGGCTTCTCGCATCCAGCTCCTGCCAGCCATCTTGCGCAAATCGTCACTCCACCTGGCCTGTGGGCGTCCTACACTACGTTTGCCGAGACGCGGTCTCCACTCAAGAACTCGTTTTCCCCAACGGTTATCGGTTCTGCGGCTAATATAATGGAAGAGGATATAATGGTGCCAAATTAATATTAAGAATTTTTTTAAAATTTACTTAAATAGTGATGCTTTCTATACAATAGCTGGTAGGCGAGAGACATGTGTATATTATGTAGGTCATTAAATGAAAAATGTAATGGAACGCCTGCGCGACAAATGATACCTATTTTATACATTGCCATTCAAAGTTGCGTATGTATTCATATCGGGCTCAAAGCCTAAACACGAGGTCCAACACAAATATTTTTACGCCATCAAAAACTTTCACAACTAATTTATTCATCATCAACAGCTTTTACTAGTCCACTGCTGGACATAAGCCTCTCCTTAGAAACGAGGTTTTGGCCTACTATACCACGCTGGCCAGACGGGTTAGTATAGGGTTTGTGTCAAGTTTTCCTTCTCTCTGCAGTGTCGTTGTTCTGCGTAGTTTTTTCCTTTAGTCGGCTCTTACGACACCCACGGGATGAATAGGGGTGGTGACACTCTGTATTCTTAATCCGTCACCACACGGTAACGGATTAACATATTTATTATTCCTTTTTAAATATATAACTCTATTATATTATATATTTTATAATCCCCTCTTACTTTTCTTGATACCCTTTCTTTTTAGAAAGCTATCTAAGTACATTTTGGTTTTTGAGACAGAAAAAACAATACCATAACTGTCGAAATTCATCCAGCCATTTGGAAGATCCGAGGTAACAAAGAAATTTACAAATAAAATACAAGATACGTGCGAAAAACATTACAGTCGGGTAAAAGGAGCTAGACTTAGAGTAATCGTATATGATCTGTAAAATCTCATATTTCATTTACCATCTAACAGGCAACTCTAGCATACGCGTGCCCTTTGTTTAAATCAAGTGGCGCGCACTCCGTCTTACTGCTACTTGCCAATCATTTTCACGAAACGTTTCCAACACATTACAGTAAAGAGAGAAAAAAATGTTACACATTAAAAACATAAATAAAAAATACGCCTGAGTATTAAAATACTGTGTAACTATATTACGACTAATCCCACTTTCATTTCGTAATATGGCTAAAACCTAGATATTAAATCAAGTGTTATTTCTTAATTAAGCTGCTCTTCCTACGTAACACATGTTCCTGAATTATTGTTAGTACAATTTGTACGATTTAGTCCAATTTACGAGGTTTTACTCCAAATATAATTGGACTTTAACTTGCACGCATGTGTGTATCAAAGATAATATTTTAGTTAAGTTTCTTAAATATTTGATCGTTACCGAAATTTGTGGTTGGAATCTTATTTTTTAACAAGCTTTTATTAGCTTAGTATGTAT